TACAATACGTGATACTCATTGCCATCAGCAACATTTATCATCCTATTAAGCGGGAGTTTATTCATTAAAGAGTCAGTTAGTTACAAATGAGAAAGGCTAGACTGCACATGCCTTATAATCTCTACTAATTCTCTGTTTAACTCCTTAGCCTGCCCTCATTATTAGCGCTTCGGCACGAGCGTTTTTCGCCGTGGGAAAGTATGAGTGTTTGAGCAACGCGAGGCTACGAGGGGTCTGCACGGGGTATTAGTGCCAGACCCCCGACAAACATTTTCTGACTCGTCCCAAATCTTTCCTGCGGGCAGAGAAACGCACCTCCTGCAGCGCTGATAATGAAGGTTTGTTCGAAGGCTAGAATTCTTAAACAAGTTGGAGTTCTCCCCTAATGATTACTCCCCACATTTCCTCTTCCCATCCTCTCCGTAGACAGGTTTTGACTTCAATGACTGTAAATATATGAAAATCATGTATGTGAACTGCGGTTGAAGAAACGAATATGGAAGCGATCCTCACAGTTATGGACACTACTTAAGTAGTATTGAAAATAAGGCCTGAATATAGGTTATGTGAACTGCATAAGTAGTGTTCATATAACTGCGAGGATCGCTTCCATATTCGTTTCTTCAACCGCAGTTCAAATAAACGATTTTCATATATTTGCAGTCAATTATTCACCACTCTGGGAGTTTATTTGGAACCAACATAATGACCAGCTCTCAGTTGGCTTGTTAGCTTCAGTTGGTAGAGTGCTACACCGGAATCATAAAGTTCATGGGTTCAAATCCCGTACGGGCCTGAATTTTTTTCAGGCCTTATTTTCACCACTGCGTAATGTTCATAACTGCTAAGATCGCTTCCATATTAGGTTTTGACTTTATTCTGATACTTCTTTAACGCGACACCGTTTACATACCTACTTTTCTTCCTATGTAGCTCTTAGCTTTACTAAGAACTCTCAGGTGCACCAATTTTCAAATCTCTTCATTTGTGTTTTTCTAATTATTAGTGTTTCATATTGTGTGGCCGACCCAACCTTTCCCAAAGTGTTTGCGTTCATTTGTCGATCACAAGGCAAACAAGATTTGACGTGCCACGCTTTCCTCTGCAGCAAACCGGCAATGGTATAGTTCTCTCATTTTATTCTCAATGTTCTTTGGATTCTATGCTGTTGTTGTTGTTGTTTTTTTTTTTTTCTAATGTTTTTCTTTCCTTTATTTATTTTGCCTTGTTTTAGGAAGGGGGTTAATGGTATCTCCTCACCAATTTCCCTATCCATGAAAATGTCGATTTTGCAAATCGAGGTTTCCAATTGAGAATATCAAGATGATTTGGATACAAAGAAAGACAGAACTAGGTCTTTCTTAGTTTCCATTCAGAAAGCCCTTGAGTGATACTGCCATAACCTTCTTATAAAATTGTGTACGGTGTTTTTCTCTTAGTTATGCGGATGTTTTTTTGAGAAGGAATGCTCACTACACTGTTATTTCGAAGTTATTGTAATTTTTTTCCTATCCGGTTGTCTTGTTGTCACTCCCCCTTCCCGTCCCCATACCCAAGATGCCATGGGGGAAGTTCTTCTTAAATCAGGAAGTGCGTTTTATCACTATGAAGGTTTCCAAGTGCTTCTGGCACTACTTGAAGTTTTAAGACCTTTTAATTAGGTAGAATGACAAGAAATACTAACCATATGATGACTTATAACATTTTTCAGGCTCAAGCCATGGCGCTAACCATTGCTGATGCCTTTAAGCTTGCATATGAAAACCACGAGAAAAAAGCGGGACACGGAAAACCCGAGAAGGATCACGGGAGTCCGCGAGTCTCACAGGACAACAAGGAGAATACTGAACAGGCCACATCTGTGATTCAAAACGAAAACGTTGACATTTACGCGACCCCTATACCCAAAGAAAATAGAGTAAACACGCCAAAAATTCACGTATCTGCAGATTCCTCTTCGGGTATAATGGATGACTCCAGTAATAAACTGCAAGCCTTGGTAATTGTTTTTATTAGCGTCAATATCGTGTTTATTATTGTGAGAGAAGCTGATTAGAGCGCTTTTCGACTGAATATCGTAAGACCAAAACCAAGGTAATTACTAAGGCCAATCAGATGGAAAGGAAATATTACAACGAGCCAATAAGATCTCAAGAGAAAAGTGGACCAGCCACCTGATTAGAGCAGCAAAGTTGCCATAGCTTTTAGTTTTTTATGTGATCGCTTTAAAGAGTGGCGTGAATTTTCTTGACAAATCACAGAACGAAATGAAAGAAGTACGAAGCAATCCCAACAGTTTGTTAATACCCCATGGGGGTTACTACTTCCCGGTAATATGTTGTCTTATAATTTTTACTTGTTTGCTTGTCTTATGCGTCGTATATCTAGATAGTCGGCTAAAAATGCACTTGCTGAACTAAACGGAGCATTTTTTAGCATTTGCTACTATGATTAAGCCATTTTGCTTATACACTGTCTAACTTACCATTGCAATTAATAGGACATTGCAGCAAAAGACGACGACTTTGACGCGGAATTTACGAAGTAAGTTTACTTTAAGTGATTTGATTGCTCTGTTTAAAGGATATTTTATTTGCCTGTTCGGTTCGTTCGTCTGTATCTCTCTGCTTTTGCGTTTAGTGACACTCTGGTATTAAAGACTGATAAAAAACAAACATATCAGACAATAAATGGACAATACCTCAGTTTCGAGAAAACGTTTGTTTGTTAAGTTAAGGTCTTAGTTAACACTCGCAATAACTACTGGTGCAACATCGGTGAAAGTTTTTGGGTAGTTAGTGGCGCAGACTACGAAATGCACCCACTTACTCTAAGAGCCCAAGTGGCTCCTGATTGCAACAACTATTTCAAGCAAGCCTCTTTAGTAATGGGGTATTGGGAGACTAAAAAAATTTTCCTACACATTACGGCTTTGGACTTTGTGCGTGCTCGGCGCACGTGAAGCCCAACATTAATGAGTAGACATGGCGTTTACGGCCGCGGCAAAGGGCAAAAATCAATTCTGATATGTTAACTTTTCCATTATTTAAACTTTTCTACTCGCGACTAATACAAATTAATAAAGTGACTGAAATTAGCCGGAAAGGAGTTTAGTTTTAGCTTCTTGCCATTTCCCGTAACCGTCATGGTTAACCTCTCTAAAAATTGTTGAAGTACGCTTCAGCGATCAAGGGAAAGACTAATCAAATTCTCGGACTAAATGCTGATAAATCCTTGTGGGTTTTCAAACGCACGCAGCAGGTGGTGCCTTCAATACTTGGAGCATTTGCATGTACATTTTTAAAAAAAACATGCGTTTTTCCTGTTGACAGATTAGCAGAGTCAAGGTCCAGCCCTATCTTGTTTGAGACACCAGTGAGGAGACGAGATTTTTTTGGTGACGTCAATCATCTAATGGCCACTGAAACAACTGCTAAAGAGTTAATGCTGTCAAAATCCAGCGAAGATCTCTTGTCGATGTAATTTATTCCCTAATTATTGAACATTTATGGATTGGCTGTTGTACTTTCTAACCCGACCTTTCAGCTATATAGAGCGATTGATTTTTAATTAACCGGTGTGGCGGTGGAATATGGTAACGACAGTTTTCTTTCAGAGAAGAATTACAGCCTCGTTTCTTAGGAAAGGGGGGGGCTAGACCTAGGAGGTTCTCGTTTTCATTTCTTAACTTTTTACCCCCTAACATCAGCATGCAAATTCTCCATGCTGGTTTCTACACATTTCCTTTGGCTGTGACAAGGAGAAATTTTTAA